TGTTGTTATTAAAAAATATGAAAATTACTAAAAAAGAATTGCTATTGTAATATTTTACTGTAAAGGTGTCCCAATTCTTAGGGGAATGTTTTCACCCCTACCCCTTGACACTGTTTCAAGGCACAAGGGGAAGGGGTATGCGGTGCGGTGACTGACTGCCACACATACTCTTCAGAACATTAGATTCATCCGCGCTGGAGCACAACCCACGCAAATAGATAATTCCGCACACAGCTGCAATTACAGGTTTTCAAACAGAGATGGCGACAAAGAGGCAAAACTTACGGACTGCAGCTTTAAATATATAAAAATTATAATATATATATAAAATATATTAAATACATAAATTGTTCAAATTAAAAAAAAATAATAATAAATACAAACTGGTAATAGCACTTTTATAATATCACTGTAAAAAAATCAAGCATTTAAAAATATAATAATAATAACAACAGTTATGATAATAATTATTATTATTATTGTTATTATTATTGAATTAAAATATAAAAAGATACTATAAAATATAACTATAAACTATAAAATAAAACAATCAAGTAATTAAAAATATTATTACTGTTGTTGTTGTTATTAAAAAATATGAAAATTACTAAAAAAGAATTGCTATTGTAATATTTTACTGTAAAGGTGTCCCAATTCTTAGGGGAATGTTTTCACCCCTACCCCTTGACACTGTTTCAAGGCACAAGGGGAAGGGGTATGCGTAGGGGAAGGGGTATAAAATAGAATTGGGATTGGGCCTAAAAGTGGCTCAAACTCAGAGCAGATGCAGAGATGGAGTTCATGTGGAACTGCATTTACTGAGAACTGAGTCCAAACAACACTGACTTTCACTGCATGGACCACAAAAAAACAAAAAAAAAAAACAACACAGGGACATTTTTCAAAATATCTACCTTTATGTTCGAGATTTACTGCTGATCACAGAACCGTGCTTCTGTCGAATTGCGATCTCGATTCCATTTCGATTTATCGTGCAGCCCTAAAAATAAGTCATACAGGTTTGGACCGACAGGACAGTGAGTAAATGATGACAAAATGTTCATTTTTGGGTGAACTATGCTTTTAAAAGTGTTGAGATGTACGAGTTGGTTCGAAACGTGTCATTAAACTGTATAATTATGATTTAGTTTCCAAACACTCAAACAGTCAAACAGAAAAACAAACAGATACAAAGAAACAGAAGCAAACCGATAGCCCCGCCCCCAAATTCACGCCATTGGCTGGCTCCTCAAATAAACTAATGAAACTCCTCCTTCTATTCCATGCAGAGGAATCAGTGAGCTTCTCTATATCTCCTCCAGTTAGTCATCTGACTAAACCATTAGATAAGCATCTGGTTCGAAACACCTGCTCTTCACTCTTCAGTGAGCTATTATAACTCTGTGTTCAGCCCACACACTTACATGAGCTCTGAGTAATGGAGAAGCGCTGATCAACAAAAGAGTGCTTTTCCGTCAAAATAAAAGCTTGAGGGTTTAACGTTTGCAAATAAATATTAGTATTGCAATTTTATAGTTGCATGACATAGTCATATAATTATTATTATTATATTATTTTGTAATAATAAAAATGACATTATAAAATGACATAATAACATTGTATGTTATTATTATTATTACATTGCCATATTCATATAAACACAATATTTTTAACCAAAAGCAAGCAACACAAACCTGGATTTTTTTTTTTTTTATTACAATTAGAATTTTCAAAAAAGTTTCAAGTATTGTAATTGTACAGTTGCAATGGCATAGTTTTACTTTAACCATTTTATTTACTATATTATATAATATAGTTTTACAATATTTTTCTTAAATTATTTTCTTTTTATTTTACAGTAAAATATTAAAATTGTTTTATTTCATATTTTGCTTTCACTAAGTCATTTCTATATTTTTATTTAGTAATAATAATAAAATAATAATAACAATTATTATTATTATTATTATTACTATTATTATTATAGCCATTCTCATATATAAGCACACCAACAGCAAACCTGGATGTTTTTTAAATCACATTTTAAAATCATAATCACAACTTTTATCAGTGAAAAAAAAAAAATCACAATTACATTTTTGCAGCCCTAATTTTCACATTCATACGCACCATCAAATTACCTTTGCAGGATGTTCATTTTAAGATGCAATGTGTTTTTTGTTTTGTTTGTTTTTTAAATAGTTGTGTTTGATTTTCAGGATATTTTTTTTTTAATTTTGCTAAATTAAAACTGTTGGAACTGTGTTGAGCCAATAAAGCCTGCCCTCGCTGAAGGTGACACGCATTTGCCGTGTAGCGCCGCTCTTGAATACTAAGCGTGTGTGGACACTCATGAGCACTTAAACATGCTAATGCTGGAGCTGTGCTGAATATTTCACACCATCTGATCAATGACATGATGATGGTAACGTGAGAAACAATATACGCCTGCTGGACAGAAAACAACAGACAGGAAGTAATGTCTGGAAGAAGAAAGCTGAGAATATAAATACCGATCACATAATGGCTCAGAGCCACCAAATAAAAGCACTGGCGCCAAATACAGTATATGTAATTGACCGGAGAGTAAACCACACTCTTATTACTATTATAAGTATAACTAATTGAGTTTTGAGGGCACAGATTTCATGTGCATCTGGTTATGGACGTGTCATGAGTGAAATCTAGCAGCAGATGTTTAGAGAAAATACCAGAAAAACAGCTGCAAACTCAGAAGCTGAATAAAGATTCGTTTACAGATTTAAATATGGTTTAAGCCACAGAAACTCCCTGCAAAAACTCCATGATGAGGCAGACAGATCCATGTGTACAATATGAAAACCTCTGCATTATTGAGCTTCATGAATCACCTTAAAATGTCTCAGAAAATCACTTCTGTTAATGGTACTTAAACTGTTAAAAATCATTTTCAGTAATTAAAATAAAGCTGCAACAGAATAAAATATAAATATTAGATGAAAAACTTACAAGAAACAACTGAAACCAACTGATATAAATTTAAAAATTAATTTAAAGAACTGAAATTACTAAAACTAAAATTAAATAAATGAAAGCTAAAGATAAAAAAAATATTTAATTTAATTGAAATAAAGATGCAATAAAATAAAACAAATATTAGATGAAAAACTTAAACTTAAAAAAAACTTAGAGCTGTAATCAATTTAATTTGAGGAAATAAAATTACTAAAACTGAAATAAAAAAGAATTAAGGCTAAATAGAAATATAAAAAAAAAACTAATAAAAAATTATAAAAGGCACATAACAAAATAACTAAAATTAAAAACTGAAATTATAAAACTCAAAATAGTAATAAATAATGTATTATTAATAATGTTTATTTAGTATTATTTATATACTACTATAGAATAACATATAAATAATTCCTTATTAACATTGCAGAAAATGTAATTTACCTCACAGAATGATAAAAAGATTGTAGTCAAACTGATCGAGAACTGAAATAAAGCCAAAGGTAAATCATAGTAAAAAATTATGAGCAGAAAATGAGACTAATATTGAGCGACTCCCCAAACCAAACATTATTTTGTGGCAAAAGCACTGAGAATGACAACCAGCAGAATATAAAATACTAAAAAAAACATAAAGATTGAGCATTAGAAGCGGCAAGAAATCAATGGCAATGAAAAAAACTCATAATGCCTATCAAGTTTCTTAAAGGGTTAGTTCACACAAAAATGAAAATTAACCCATAAATGACTCACCCCCAAGTCATCCCAGGTGTATATGACTTTCTTCTTTCAGACGAATACAATTGGAGTTATATTAAAAATTGTCTTTGATCTTTCAAGCTGTTTAATGGCACTCAGCGGGTGTTGCATGCTTCAGTCCAAAAGAAGTGAAATAAAAAGCGCCCATCCATAAAAAAAAAAAGTGTCTCACACGGCTCCGGGGGGTGAACAAAGGCCTTCTGTAGCGAATCGATGCGTTTTTGTAAGAAAAATATCCATATTTAAATACACCTAGGATGACTTGAGGGTGAGTAATTTATGGGCTAATTTTCATTTTTGGGTGAACTAACCCTTTAAATGCTTAGCCTGTCAGTTCACTGAAATACACACAATGTCTGGCGTTTTTAAGCATAACCTACATTTTTCATTTAATACAAACTGCCTGTCATCCAAAAATGCAGTCCTGTGAAATTATAAATCAGTTTCCACTCAAAACTCAAGCTTCAGTAAAGACCAAGAGTCTCACTGAATCCGTGAGAATGGGAGTGACTCTTCCTGAAACGATAACAAATGCTTTTATCATCTAAATCAGCAATCATTTCCACTGAAAGAACATTAAGCATGTCAAAGTGTGATATCTAAAAGATCTGCACCGATGATAAGCAACTCTAACGCAACAAACCTGGAACTACTTGCATGCTTACAAAAAAAGCCTAAAAAGCCTTGCATCAACCAAACTGAATAAAGAATGCAAATGATTATTCAGAAAATGGTAACTGAACTACACAATCTCACCTCAGCTTCTATTTAAAGTAATAGTTCACTCAAAAATGAAAATTTGCTGAAAATGTGCTCACCCTCAGGCAATCCGAGATTAGGATGAGTTTGTTTCTTCATCAGATTTAGAGAATTGTAGCATTGCATCAGTGTCTCAGCAATGGATGCTCTGCAGTGAATGGGTGCCGTCAGAATGAGAGTCCAAACAGCTGATAAAAACATCACAATAATCCACAAGTAATCCACAGCACTCCAGTCTTTGATTGACTTCTCCAGATGTTAACTGATGGACTGGAGTGGTGTGGATTACTTGTGGATTATTGTGATGTTTTTATCAGCTGTTTGGACTCTCATTCTGACGGCACCCATTCACTGCAGAGCAAGTGATGCAATGCTACATTTCTCCAAACCTGATGAAGAAACAAACTCATCCCAATCTTGGATGGTGAGCGCATTTTCATTTGTGGGTGAACTAAAACGATTCATGTATAAATTCATACAAACCCTCTCACCTTGAAATTGCTCGCATTGACCCATGAGGTTGCCAGACTGTCCACCATCCTGTCCAGCATGCTCTGATCGTGCTCCAGGTCATGTGACTCCTGTCTGTCCAGGATGTAGTCTATGATTTCCGGCCCCACTTGGAAGCGACGTCCAACCTCCTTCTGCGTGACCTGTGCCACTATGTACTCCATGTTTGGCTCCATCACTTTGCCGAGATGGACCACGGCTCATAAACACACAAATACTGGCCAGAAAACAGAGTTTTAGATCTTGTTAATCTAAAGACAGGATCCTGAAGGGATGTGGGATGCAAAAGGCCGCTGGAAGTATGAATGCGGGATTGTGCACGGCACCGGTGCAACATGTGTCGACTGAACAATATTATAATCGACAGATCAAACACTGGTGGAGTAAATCCTTCTGCAGGGAAATCCTGTCAAATGGCCAATACATCACTTTATGTCCTGCAATGCAAATTAAAATATTACAGATCAGGTATTATAAAAAGGACGCTTCCAAAAACTGAATGATAAATTCAACCCTATAAAGCTACAGTATTGTATTTGATATGCAAATTTCTAAGGCGTCTAAACGATCAACATTTTCAACACTGCAGTCGCACTCAATCTCCTCATGTCTTCCGTCTCTGATTGATAGTTTAGAGTGTTTTATCCAGTAAAAGCTCTTTTAGTGTAATTGTAGAAACGCTTCTCGTGTCAAATCTTGACTGATTTTTATCAAGTAAGCGTCAGAATAACTGCAGTAATATCTCCAGATGAACTCTTACTGGACTGAAGCAGCTCAGCTTTACTTGATTCTCCATCAATCATGTTTTAGAGTCTCAAATCTGATCCTCAGGATCTTTTGAGGAGCGTTTGTTTCCAGCAGCTTTACTTTCACTGTTCCTCAGCGGAGGAATGATCTTCAAAAGCCTCCATAACATCTAACATCTTATGAGGAGCCTTTATTTCTTCAGCTCTCAATCAGCACTGGATTGCATTGCATTATATGTCTGGATCATTTCAATCTCATCTTACTAAAACAGATTACTGGAGATATAGTGATGACTGATCTTTAGATCATTTTACGTCAGTATCTGCTCTACTGTTATAAAGATCTCATTTATTTACATCACAAGCATCTGAATTTCATCATAGAAATATCAGCATCTGCAGCAAATTCATATTTTTCCTCAGTTGAAGCTATAAATCTGAGTCGTTTCCCTTCATATTATCACTATATTAGACTATAAGAACCATAAATGCCTGATGAATCAAATATGATACTCAACAAAAAATAAATAAAACACATATGCAAACTTTTTTTTTTTTTTTTAGATTTTACATTAGACTCTATCTAAAGGCTCAATAAACTATAACATTTTGAATATATATTGCAAGGTTGCTAGAACAACCTAAAGTTTGGTTATCATCCCTATAATGGTCTCAATATTTCATATACAATATTACTTTGAATTTCAAATGACAAAAAGTATTGTGGCAGTATCATGGTTCAGATAGTAATAACATGGTAACGCTACTCAAATATATACTATGGCACTTTCTGAATACCATATTCAAATACCACAGTATTTAAGGTCCTTCAAAGTATACCATAATAAACTAGGTATTACCATAGTACTTCATTGTAACACAAGCAAAAGATGATGTAATCATCATGTGTCACGTGAGAACGTTCATGTAGCCTAGTTTTGAGGACATTAGCAGTCACGGTTTACTCATTAAACGTTAATGAAGCAGCTGCAGTGATTGCTAATCTAACTTTAGCCGTGTTTAATGTCTGCGAGCAGTTGTTTAGCAGCTGTCTGGCTAACAGATCTCACTGTAAACAGGGCAGGCTGCTTGACACTTACATGCTAAACAAACCCGCGCCTTTCAGGGGAAACCCGACGAATATTACGCGATAAAACCCCGATAAAATGTAGCGTCGCGATATCGTTGCTTGGTAACCGCGAAGAATGTTGGTTGTTATTAGCAACAGTGAGCGAATCGCACGAGGCCCGACAACTCTGTTTACAAACACGCGCGCGAGCGCATATCTCAAAACCCGTTTTAAAATATAAAAGCTTCATATGCATTTATTTAGCTACACCCAAAATATTCATAACTGCTATATATTTACCCTGCGTTTCAATATGTAAACATGGTTAAAGCGATATAAAATTTACCTGCGAAGGTAAAAACATTAAAAACATTTAATAATATATTAAAACCGCTAAATATTAAAATTTGTTTCAGAGAATAAGTACACAGAATACACCTTTATTTTGTATTATTTATATATTTTTTTTTGTTTGTGTTTTTAAAAAGTCTGAAAATATGCCAGTAAAACGTAAAAGTTTTGTTTTAATAAAGTTTGGCTATTTTTTACAATTTAAAAATAATATTTTGCATATCTCTTCATCATTTAAAAAAAAAGTACCTGGGTTTGCAATGCATGCATGTAAATACCATGTCATATAATTGTAGCAATTCAGTACCATGGTATAAGCATCACTGTACTTTCTGTATTTTAAACAGTATAGCATTTAACTCTTTTCAATAATATTTTCTCATCTAGTTGCATGTGCATTATTGCACTGTTGTATCAACTACTCCTGTAAACTACAATCTAAAATCTCAATCTAGACTGACTGCATCAAACTTTCGTTTCACATCGGTTTGCAAAAAAATTAAGACATTACAATCCATGCAACTGAACAAATAATGATCGATATGGCCACTGTAAACACTGTAGATGATGCAGCTACTCTCGCAGTGTAATGTTTGCTTTGCATGCATGACTGTAACAATGTGTCCCGTTATGCACAAACTATTTTTTCATTGACAGTGCACGCAAAGCCCAGCCACAGCAAGCTGAGTCAGAACGCAACCAGTGATAAGCTGGTGGAAACGGACGTACCTGGCATATCGCTCGAAAGCCGCTACTTGGGAACCGTTTTCCGTGGGTAGATCCTCAGTTGATATTTTGGAAGGAAACAGCAGAGATCTCCGCCCATTGTGCGGTTTCAAACATGAAGATGGCACTGCGCATGCGCCAGATGAGGCGTGATAGCGCGCCATCTGCTGTCTGTTCAACTCAGTTTGCGATGCATAATAGACACATCCTGCTCTTTTAGTAGTAGTTTTTTAAAGTGTGAAAATGTCATTTAAAAATAAAAAAACGTAAAAAAAAATAAAACCGCTAATGTGGCTAACATTGTGGCAAGGTTCTCTCAAAGTAACGAATAAACATTCTTCCAATAATGTTTGTTACAAGTTATCTTATTCTCAAAACGTTAGTACAAAAACGTTCTTTATGCATTGTTGATGTAACTTTTTTTCGGAAACCTTTTAGCTGGATATTTGTCTAAGGTTTCTAAAATGTTACCAAGTCCCTTCTTTCAGAACGTTCCGAGAACATTCAAAAGTAACGTTCCCATAATATTTGCGAAATGATGCAAGGGAATATTCCATTTAAAACTGGACGTTTAGAATGTTCAGAGAACATTCAAACAGTTTTCATCACTTAATGGGTATGTATATGGAAGGCCATACAACTCAAAATTAAATCATTAAATAAATGTTGAAATATACAAATAGGCCTACGTCGTTAAATACATAAATAAATGCATAAATAAAAAATTATTTATTCGTTTATATTCATTCATATATATATGTATTTATTCATTCATTATATTTATAAATATGTTAATTTATGCATTTATTTAAATAAATAAATATTTTTATTTGTTTGAAATGTTTATTTATTTATGCATTCAAATATTTAATTATATTTAACGATTTATTTATATATTTCAACATTTATTTAATGATTTAATTTTGAGTCAATGGCCTTCCATAAATGGGAAAGTCAGCACAAACATTTTGTTACCTGTCCTGTTATGTTGTTTAATTAAGTGTTAGGCTTTGTTTTACGTCTTTAACGTTTGTATGCATCATGTTTGGCGCTGAACCTGTCCTGTTCACCCTGCGCTCGCGTGCTGTTTCACTCCTCCCCTCATATCCTATATAATCGCGTTCCTCCTCCGACACACGAACCGAAACACACTTCCACAACATGTCGTTTGACACCGAACGGTCACGTTTTAAACTAGTAGCCTATTGAAAAATACATCTAAAACTGAATGCGAAATCGCTGTAGAAAATGAGAAAACAAGAATCGAGATGACAAATGAGACACGACCGTGTGATTTCCTGAAGTGACTGTAACTCCTGCTCGCGCTCAGGTGAGTCTGACTTCAGTCCGCTGTCAATAGGTTTAAAAATATATTCTTAAACTAGTTCAAATACGTAAACAGGTAAAGTATTGTATTATTAGTAGTATTTCTTATAGCCTACTAATTCTTGTACTTATAAAAAATACAAAAAAATATAATTTTGGTATTTTATATATATATATATATATATATATATATAGTGGAACGATACATGTATTCGTACTGAACCGTCATGGTGCGGACATCTCGGTTCGGTGCATGAGGCCTTACAACGAAATCCAGAAGGGGGCGCCCACAGCAATGCAACGGTGTTTGATAACCGGCCGCCAGCAGAAGAACAGATATATATATATATATATATATATGTGTGTGTGTGTGTGTATATGTATATATATATATATATATATATATTTACACATAGGAGCCTGTTAAAAAAGCTCATTTTAGAAGACAATTTCAAGGCTTTTGCATCTGAACTCTTCACATACATACATATATATTAATATATGTTACTTAGTGACTTTTTTCCCAGTCATGTCAATGGCACCTGAATTCATTTTTACACTTTTTTTATTTCCTTTAAGTATAAAAATACCATTTTTACATTTAAAAATCCAAAATATTGTGTGATTGCAAATTTAATACCTGAATTCACCCTATACATTCTCGGTTTCTTTCTCAAGTGTGTCAGGAAACGTTAGAATCAGGTTATCAGTGATTAAGCATATCTTTCATCTTTATCAGAATGACTCTTCCTGCCAAATGTTTAACTGCTTCTTCCTTTTCACTTGACTCGCTGACTTATATTTGCCCTGAAAACTGATGAACTATCGCGTCATTACATTTCTCAAACTTAGACAAATGCTCAGACAGAACCATATCTGTATATTGCATAAAGGTAAAGTGTTTTGTGTAGCCGCTTGCATGGCATGATCTCTCATGTTGTGGTCTGCAGTTTTGCACAAGCTGCAGAATTTTGGCACACTGAGATAGAGTCATAATGCAGTGTGTCCTATTTAGGGACGCTGCATGGGTGGATGTTACACTAAGGCCTATTTTTCCCCAGTAGAAAACAGCGCTGACCTCTTTCTTACGTCGTCTGGTCACTGACAGCTTTCAGAAGTCTTCTTGGTTTCTGTCAGCCGGTGAAGATGCAGTGCAAAGTCAAACACAGCATGTGCAAACACGCTCTCAGACTGAGCATTAAAATAATTGCATTGTATGAGCAGCACTGTACATTATGACAGCTGTTGACATGCTCTTTTATAGCCTACAAACATATCACATATACTCTATAGACTTGAGGAGTTCATAGGAAAGGAAATGCAACAAAACAAAAGTAGTGAGCGTGAGTGTCATGTTGCAAAAGGACAAAACCTTTCAGTCTATTCCTCACCCAAAACTATCTGTCTTTGAATATAATACACGAGTCATATGAACTGCTATGATACTTTAATAATGATGTGTGTGTTTTTTGCTCACCAAGTGAAAGTGGGGCATGTTTTGTTGAATAAATGATGACGGAAATGTTATTGCTCTTTAAATGTCAAACTAACTCAGCACTGTGATTGGAAAAAAAAAAAAGATAGGACGAAAAAATTCAATCCCTTGAGAAACTTTACACTTGCAAAAGCACTGAAGTATAGTTTTTCCTCTCGCCGCATATTATTTCCATTACAAATGTTTTGCGAGCGGATGCAAAGTTTCTCAGGTGAACGTAAATGTGAGAGAACATTAAGCACAGAAACCATAATCATATATATTTCCAAAACAATTTTTTTGCAAGCAGTCACAAAGTTTCACACAATGGGGAACGGAAAAGCTTTGAAGTCAGCAGAAGTGGGACATCAGTTAAACTGGGACAAATACGTTTCCAGTGTAGTGCTCCTTTAAAAAAATTGCATTAATTAATGATGGGTGGTCTTGAAATGTTGTAATAACAGTACTGCATTTGAATATCAACATTTGATTTGTCAAATGTAAATTTGACAAATCTCAATTTAAATGAGATAAGGAACATTAAAAAATGTGATCAAAATGTCTGTGTGGTACACTGGCAAAACAAGTGAATGAATCTTCCTCAGAAGAGACAAAAACAGCAGCTCACTTCAATGTCTGACTAATATTATAATTACGTTCATAAGCTTTTTGTGAAATGTGGAGTAACTCATTAATCTGTTGCTTGATCTCTTCATATTTAAGGAGAGAACTATCAAAGTCAGACATCGCTTGTTATGATTTTCAAGGGTGTAGAATTTAGTAGAGACGCTATGACATGATCCTGCTGATATCAGACACTACTAAATTGTCCCTAGCAATAATTATGATCAAACAATTACATGTCTGTTGTCTGCCGTTACGTCCCCATAAATGCCTAAATCAAACCTACACCCTTGCAATATTTACTTTTGAATGTTCTCTGAACATTCTGAAACAAGTAACATTATTTTAAAAACATTAGACGAATGTCCAACTAAAATGTTTTAGAAAAACATTCTATTAATGATGTATGAATCATGTTTTTGTGCTAACGTTTTGAGAACATTATTAAAGACCAGATAACTTTGAATGAACATTCTATTAATGTTACTGGAAGAATGTTTGTTCATTACTTTGAGAAAACCTTATCAGAACGTTCTGAAAATGTTTCCCCATGAAACGTTGTGTTTGCTTGCAAAATCACTTAAATATGTGACCCTGGACCACGAAACCAGTCATAAGGGTCAATTTTTTGAAATTGAGATTTATACATCATCTAAACGCTTTCCATTGATGCATGGTTTGTTAGGATCAGACGATATTTGGCTGAGATGCAACTATTTGAAAATCTGGGATCTGAGGGTGCAAAAAAATCTAAATATTGAGAAAATCATCTTTAAAGTTGTCCAAATTAAGTTCTTAGCAATGCATATTACTAATCAAAAATTAAGTTC